ACTCATCATCAGAGGTCCTTCTCACAGTGCCCTCTCCAGCTGAGGGCAAAGAGAGGCAATACGGAATGCGTCTTTCAGTGCTGGCTCCCCACCTAAAGAATGCTCTTCCCCAGGGAGGCAACCAGAAGCCATCACTGGCTAATTGTAGCAAGAAGCAAGAATATTTTATTCTCAGCCAGGCTTCTGGCTTTAACTTGGGAGAAAAACAAACACGGTGACCTCCTTTAGCGGAGCTGAAGGGAGGCATCTGAGGAACCCATACCTATTATAACTATTAATGAAGGCGAAAAGGATCCTTACCCTGAGAGGCCACCATCTCATGAACCTCCACCATGACGTCCTTGTACAGAGCTCTCCGTAGGGCCCAGTTGTCGTCAGCGAAATGCAAGGACACCTTGTCAAAGCTCACTGATCCCTGGAAGGACAGAACAATTCCCTTCCTTATAGACACTCCAAGGCAAGGTGTGGAAACCATCTCCCCTCAGCTCCCCCTCCGATGATAGATGGGGCAACTGGAGATTTTACCTTCAGTTTATTTGTTTTTTTAATAAGATGTAAAATCTGGATAACTAAATTTAAGACTGGGGAAATGAGTGTTTTGTCCCACCCCATACTCCCTCCTTCCTCAAGTGTGTAAAGACCATACATGCTGCCCAAGAGACAAAATGGGAAGTGGAGAGGGATAATTTTTTCAATGATGGCTTATGCATACTGGTTTCTAAATTGGTTTGTGGGTTTTAGTTGTGTTCTAGCTCCCATTGGATCACTGTGCCACTTGAGAGACCTTTTGGATCAGGTGTTTAGAAATCTTGAACATAAGATAAAATTACTACAGCTGCAGATGGCCAGTTATATCCCCAGGGGCCCACCTTTTTTAATGATATATGTTTAGTACATACATTTTGCAGAGGAAAAGTTTTTTCTCATGGTTTAATTTGCAGTGGACCTATGGCCTTCGATACAATAAAATGCTAAAGAGTCTTAACTGAGGAGGATCCTCTCCTGCCATAGAGTCTGCAGCTCCTTCTGCACACCTTTGAAGGTGACCCGGAAACTAGATCAAATCCAGAATGCAGCAGCTAGACTCGTAACTGGGAGCAGCAGCCAACTAAGACCTGAAAGACCTACATTAGCTCCCAGTATGTTTCCGAGCAAAATTCAAAGTGTTGGTGCTGACCTTTAAAGCCCTAAATGGCCTCAGCCCAGTATACCTGAAGGAGCATCTCCACCCCATCGCTCAGTCCTGACACTGAGGCCCAGCTCCAAGGGCCTTCTGGCAGTTCCCTCCCTGCGAGAAGTGAGGTTACAGGGAACCAGGCAGAGGGCCTCTCTTGGTAGTGCCCCCCCCCTGGAAAGCCCTCCCATCAGATGTCAAGGAAATAAACAACTATCTGACTTTAAGAAGACATCTGAGGGCAGCCCCGTTCAGGAAAGCTTTTAATGTTTGATCATCTTTTATAGTGCTTTTAATTTTCTGTTGGGAGCGACCCAGAGTGGCTGGGGAAACCCAGCTAAATGGGCGGGGTATGAAGGAATAAAATAATAATAATTCCTCCTGCTCCTCCCTGGCTGGCAGGAGACTCTCCTGACTGCCCGCCATTCCTCCCCATTCCCTGCCCTGCGGCCTTTGCTGGGCGCTCCTTCTGCTTTCTCTGGACAGAGGAGCGGGAGAAAAGGCCGCAGGATGAGGCCAGAGGCCGGTCAAGGCCAGCGAGGAGCGTCGCTTCGGCCTCCCGCTTCCCCTCCCAGGAGAAGACGACCTTTCCCCGTCGCCCCTAGTTCCCCCCAGGAGGGACGCGGCTCCCTCCCTCTCGCCCCCCAATTCCGCCCCTGGCTCGGCCCACTCCCCCCAGTTACCCGCCTCCAGGAAGGACAGCATCAACCCGGGGAAGCGGAACAGGAAGCGGAAGCGCCTCCTCTCTCCCAGTCTTCCCTTCCGCTCTAGGAATAGAAGCTCTATCGCCGCTGTTAACCCTTGCGGAGCCGCGGGGTAGGAGCCTCTTGGCTGCTCCGGGCAGAGAGGGAGGAGGAGCGCCCGGCTGGTCTCCGGCTCTGAAGCAGAAGGGGAAACCCGGCTGCAGGATCAGGCCAGCGGCGCCCCCAGGACAGAATCCCTCCTCCGCAGTTGCTCCAAGCAAGATCCGAGTTCAAGAGCAGCTTTATCCTCACCTTTAGTATTCTACTTATTTATATCCCGCCTTTTTCCCAGACCAAGAGCCAAGGCGGCTTACAAAGGGATTGCCATGGTTATAAATTCTAAAAGGCAGGCGGCATTAAGAGGCAAGGAACTGCAATTGTTTCAAAGATCCTGGTTGAAATCAGAATTAGGAAAAAAAAATTAAAGATGCACATTTTTTGTGAAATCAGCTGAGAAGAGAGGTCCAGAGGCTGTAAAAAGATGTGTGCTTTAAATATTTTCAAATGACATAATACCTGACAGAATCTTGAGTTTGGATTGGCTATTTTGGATCCAACTGAGTCCTTTCCAAGTGTGCCTCTAAAATGGTGCATGCACACAGGGAAACAAACCTCCACGAGGGACCTTGGTTTCCTGGCTTAGAATAGCACACACGATGTGGAAATTCATGAAGGAGGTCCTGACCGGAGATCAAAATAAAACTAGGTAACGGAATACCAAAATATAGTTGGGACTGGCCACTGAGACCACATAACACCTGTCCTGAAAGACGTACATTGGCTCCCACTATGTTTCCAAGCACAATTCCAAGTGTTGGTGCTGACCTTTAAAGCCCTAATTGGCCTCAGCCCAGTATACCTGAAGGAGCATCTCCACCCCCCGTCGTTCAGCCCGGGCACTGAGGTCCAGCTCCGAGGGCCTTCTGGCAGTTCCCTCACTGCAAAAAGTGAGGATACAGGGAACCAGGCAGAGGGCCTTCTTGGTAGTAGCACCCGCCCTGTGGAACAGCCTCCCATAAGATGTCAAGGAAATAAACAACTATCTGAATTTTAGAAGACAGCTGAAGGAGCCAAGTTTAAGGAAGTTTTTAACGTTTGATGTTTTATCATGCTTTTAATATTCTGTTGGGAGCCACCCAGAGTGGCTGGGGAGGCCCAGCCAGATGGGCGGTGTATAAATTATTATTATTATTATTGCTACACAAATGTCATAGCTCCTCTGGTGTTTGGGGGTATACAGCCAAATGCAGCATTTTGCGGCAGTAAACAATCAGCTTCTAACATGTTAAGGCATGAGAAATACTATTTTGTTGTTACTGAATTTTGCCTATACACTGCATCTATCTGAACGTAACTGTATCTGCAAAAGCCTACAAGCTGTACATGTTTATTGTTGACTGAAGCATTATGGTCATATGCAAGATATACATAAATACAGTGGTACCTCGGGTTACAGACGCTTCAGGTTACAGACTCCGCTAACCCAGAAATAGTACCTTGGGTTAAGAACTTTGCTTCAGGATGAGAACAGAAATTGCGGCGCGGCGGCAGCGGGAGGCCCCATTAGCTAAAGTGGTGCTTCAGGTTAAGAAACAGTTTCAGGTTAAGAACAGACCCCAAGAACGAATTAAGTTTTTAACCTGAGGTACCACTGTACAGCTTTAAAATACAGTATCAGCCTATATACACACACACACACACACACACACACACACACACACACTAATACAAATAAGTTTTTAGATTTCATTCCCAATTAAATATTTACAGTTCCACCATGTTTTCCTCAATGAACTTTCTCATCTGGGGGCAGCAACTGCAGATCTCACAACTTTGTCACAGATTCTCCAAACCAGACAACAAATATGTGACTTTCAAGTAATAATCACAATAATTTATATATTTATACCCCACCCATCTGTGTGGGTTTTCCCCAGCCACTCAGGCGGCTTCCAACAAAAATATTAAAATACAATCGTCCATCAAACATTAAAAAGCTTCCCTAAACAGGGCTGCCTTCAGATGTCTTCTATAAGTCTGGTAGTTTTCTATTAAGTCTGTTTTCTATAAGTCTGTAGTCTTCTATAAGTCTGTTTTCTGCCAGATGCAATAAAGGCTGGTGGTCTTCTTCATCGTCACTATTGCCACTTGGAAGGCTTGACATTGAGCTCTAACCCATGTGCGGTCATATGCAGAATGAGTCATCCACCACCGGCACTCTAGCCATCTCAGTGATTGTTTCATTGCCCTTAGACCGGTGGAAAACCATGGAGCTGCCCCAGGCTCCATGCAATCAGAGGGGGCGCTTCAGAGCCAAACAGTCAATAGCCCTGGTTAACTCCACATTACAGTGGGCCACCAGGGAATCAGCTAAAAGACCATCAACATGGGATAAAGCATCCCCTACCCACTCTCTGGAAACCATTTAGATCCATTAAGTGCGGGGGGCGGACCATCCGAATCGGTCCCACCCCCCTGCAGAGGGGAAGGGTTCACGGAGAAGTCCAGTTGCACCAGGAAGTGGTCTGACCATAGCACTTCTCTCGCTTCGCTTTTATTAGTGTTCAGATCACCAACATCCATAGAGGTCAAAGGCTATGAGCTGGGGCCAGGCTTATTCAGGGCAGTCCTATGGAGGCCATAGTTTCCACAAAGTCCCAAGAGGTCCCTTGCAAGGTCGTGTTGGCGTGAATGTTAAAATCCCTAGGACAACCAAACTAGGTGTCTCCAAGAGAAACATCCACCACAAACTGAAGCAGCTCGGGCAGGGAATCCTTGGTTGCAGCGGGAGGTCAGTACACCAAAGGAATCCTGTACTGCCCCTATTGCCCAACTTCTAGAACATGCACTCAGAGAACTGGTCTTCCCAATAGGACGCCTGGTGCAGACTAATGATTCCTAAAAAATCACTGCGACCCCCTCCCTCCCCGCCCACATACCTGGGTTGCTGTGCATGAGAGAAACCTGGTGGACAAGCAGCGGCAAGGACAGGCCCATCTGCTTCATCCAACCAAGTCTGCTGTTACACATGCTAGGTCCAGTCCTCCATCCACGATCAAGTCATGGATGGCAGTGGTCTTATGAATCATTGATCTGGCATTGCACAGCAGAACCTTCAGGTTATGTGGGTATCCATTGCTGATTCCAGTATCCGTCCGGTCAAGACCAGACCCGGAGTCAGGGATAGTCCTCAAACAACGACTAAACCTGCCTCCTCGGTAATGACGTGGTCTGGTCTTAGCGTCTCTCCTCCTCCTACCCGTGATCACTGAGATCGGTTGTCCCAGTGCATCCCTCCCTGTGGAACATGCCCCAGCCATTTTGTTTTCTGGGACCCACTCCCAGGCAGCCCTGACGTCCTCCCCTTCAGAACAAAATAAAACCTATTTTTTAAAAAAGCAATAAAACAATAAAAACCAAAAACAGTAAAAGTTAGAAACATACCTAAATTAGACCAATTTCCAAACACGACTAAACGTCCATCCCCCACGCCAGAAATAATTTTAAAGGTAAAAAATAAAAATTTAAAATATTTTAAAAATAACTGTGTGCTGTTCTGAGTTCTCCTGGGGAGAGACAGCAGCAGCCTCAGCTGTCCTTATGAGGCCTGCCCGCCCTGCCCTGGCCAGGTGGTGAGTGGCAGGAACGGGACCCCCAGGCAGGGGAGTCCTCCTCGGCAGTTGATTACATGCATTGGGTATCTTACATAACCAAACAAGGATAAACTTGGTTCAGAATAGAGAATATTGGTAGCGATCTACTGCTTAGTTACAGCATATACAAAGAAGCTCTTCTGCAATAATTTTTTATAGCGTCCCTCTAAATATTCTGAGCACATAGTCTGAAAACAAGTCAGAAATGCTTGCCTAAAGGAACAGATTGGTAAATCAGAGGAGAAATTCTCAAGTTCATGTCTTATTTTAATTAAATACCAATGTGGGGCAGTGTTCAAAATTAGCCAGGCGCCAGACACATTTTGCACCTGGCTATTGGCAACTTATCACTAGACAGCTGTTGCAACTAAAGCTCTTTCCACACCCCAAAAATGTATGTTGTTTGTCCACTGTACGAGTTCTTTCATGCACAGTAAAGAAACTACTATAACTGAAGCTCTTTACACACATCAACTTTTATAGGGTTAGTCCCCTGAAGGAGTTCTCTGGTGTCGAGAAAGGTGGTTACTGCGGCGGTAGCTCTTTCCACACTCCAAACATTTGTATGGTTTGTCCCCTGTGTGAATTCTCTTATGTGCATGAAGGATGTTAGAGTCACTGAAGCTTTTTCTACATTTCAAACATTTATACGGTTTCTCCCCTGTATGAGTTCGTCGATGCACATTAAGGGAGGCAGTCTGACTGAAGCTCTTTCCACACTCCAGGCATTTATATGGTTTTTCCCGTGTGAGTTCTTTGATGTTTAGTAAGGTAGCCACTGTAGCTGAAGCTCTTTCCACACTCCATGCATTCATAAGGTTTCTCCCCTGTATGAGTTATTTGATGCACATTAAGGGAGGAACTCTGACTGAAGCTCTTTCCACACTCCAGGCATTTATACGGTTTCTCCCCTGTATGAGTTTCGTCGATGCACATTAAGGGAGGCAGTCTGACTGAAGCTCTTTCCACACTCCAGGCATTTATATGGTTTTTCCCCTGTATGAGTTTTTTGATGTCTAATAAGGATGCTTCTGGTACTGAAGCTCTTTCCACACTCCATGCATTTATATGGATTTATATGGTTTTCCTGTGTGTGAATTATATGATGCATTTTAACAGACTTGCTGCAACTGAAGCTCTTTCCACACTCCATGCATTTATAGGTTTTTCACCTGTATGAGATCTTCGATGCACATTAAGGGAGGCACTCTGATTGAAGCTCTTTCCACACTCCATGCATGTATATGGTTTTTCCCCTGTGTGAGTTCTTTGATGTTTAATAAGGGTACTACTGTCAAAGAAACTCTTTCCACATTCCCAGCATTTATAAGGTTTCTCCCCTGTATGAGTTCTTTGATGCAAAGTAAGGTAGTCACTGTTTCTGAATCTCTTTCCACACTCCATGCATTCATAAGGTTTCTCCCCTGTATGAGTTCTTTGATGCAAAGTAAGGTGGCCACTGTTTCTGAATCTCTTTCCACACTCCATGCATTTATAAGGTTTTTCACCTGTATGAGATCTTCGATGCACATTAAGGGAGGCACTGTGATTGAAGCTCTTTCCACACTCCATGCATGTATATGGTTTCTCCCTGTATGAGATCTTCGATGCACATTAAGGTGGCCACTGTTTCTGAACTCTTTCCACACTCCATGCATTTATAAGGTTTTTCCTGTATGAGATCTTCGATGCACATTAAGGGAGGAACTCTGATTGAAGCTCTTTCCACACTCCATGCATGTATATGGTTTCTCCCCTGTATGAGTTCTTTGATGCACATTAAGGGAGGAACTCCGACTGAAGTTCTTTCCACACTCCAGGCATTTATAAGGTTTTTCACCTGAGTGTACGCTTTGATGTCTAGCAAGGGCTGAGCGACTACAGAATCTCTTTCCGCACACAGTACATTCATGTTTTTTCTCCACCCTGTTAATCTGATTTTCATCTTCTTGGGAAACACTGTGTTCATCCCTTGGCTTCACTGTTTCTCTCCCCTCTTGTTTGTTGGCTCCATCTTGAACCCCCAACTTCCTTTCCTTCTCTTGCTCCTCAGCTCTTTCTGGCCAGACGTCTGATGGCTCCTCCTCATCCAGGACCCCCCAAACATCTCCTGATGGAATAAAAATTTAAAAAAAAGGTTAATACAGCTGTTTCTTATCAAAACTCAAGGCCTGGCACTATGTTAAAGGTGTTTTACATAAAAATTAATGGTGTGATACCTGGCTTTAATAAAATATCACCATTTAATGAAGGGTTATTTGTATCAGAAAAGTTCTGGTGAGCAGTCCCTAAGATTAACCAAGCCATAAATAACACAATTTAAACCAGCAGGCAATAACATCAACAGAGCCTGCCTGCCTCTGGGCCTGTGTGAGGCGGCTGCCTCAGGTGTCACCCCCAAAGGGGCGTCACTGCTCAGCTTTGCTGCTAGTCTCCCCGGCCTCTCAACTTTGTCAGGATCTGAAAAGGCTCTTTGCCAGTGAGTTGTCACGGCTAAAAATTGGCCGCTGTTTCTTTAATGCTTAAAAAGCTGGGTCAGCATGAGTCAGCGGCCTGCACCGGGTTGTATATATGGAGTGAGAAATGTTAATTTGTGGTTGGGTTTGGTTGGTTGGTTAGTGAAAGCTGGTAGTGTTGAGGTGTGTACAGTTGGTCAACCGCTTTTGCAGAAAGACTTTTAAGAATAAAAGCAGAAAGTACTCTGCAAGGATACTTTTCTCGTGGACTGTTTTATGCCAACAAGAGTCCGAGGAACAGGCTGAGGCGACAAAGGGAAGTCAGAACTTTTTTTATATATACAAACACTGACATGGATGGGGGGGAGGCGTCTGCACCCCTTGGAGGTCTGGTGGGGTGGGGTGGGGGAACCACCCACCCAACTTGCAGGGGTACACTCCTTATGGATTGAGCCCCCATTGTGGGGGCAGAAGTGAGGCCCCCTGAGCATTGATAATACAGCACTGCAACTCAGAGCAGCTTGAAAAGCCTAGATCTGCAGAGCTTGTTGAAAAACCAAAATGAATAATAACAATAATAGCATTTATTTTATTTATATTCCAACCGTCTGGCTGGGTTTCCCAAGCCACTCTGGGTGGCTTGCAGCATATATAAAAATGCAACCAAACTCAAATACTAAGAAACAGAATATTCTATAATGCAACAAACAAACCAAAACATCAACAGAAACCAATAACAAGATACTCAAGTATTCTACAAATTAGGATCCCCCACACAGAAGATTTTTAGTATGCTTTTTCTACCATTCTCCACTAGATTGCCACAATGCATTATACTTCAGGCTGCTTTAGAAGACCGTTCAGAAACTACAGAGTGCTGAGTGCTGAGCATATCTGGGTTCTGTCTTCAAGTCAAGGTGCTGATTTTGACTTATGTAGCTCAATGGCTGCTTCTCATGAATCCACCTAGAGCCTGCACTCATCATCAGAGGTCCTTCTCACAGTGCCCTCTCCAGCTGAGGGGCAAAGAGAGGCAATACGGAATGCGTCTTTCAGTGCTGGCTCCCCACCTAAAGAATGCTCCCCCACAGGAGGCAACCCAGAAGCCATCATTGGCTAATTGTAGCAGAGAAGCAAGAATGTTTACTCTCAGCCAGGCTTCTGGCTTTAACTTGGGAGAAAACGAACACTGTGACCTCCTTTAGCGGAGCTGAAGGGAGGCACTCCGAGCCCCTGAGGAACCCATACCTATTTTAACTATTAATGAAGGCGAAAAGGATCCTTACCCTGAGAGGCCACCATCTCACGAACCTCCACCATGACGTCCTTGTACAGAGCTCTCCGTAGGGCCCAGTTGTCGTCAGCGAAATGCAAGGACACCTGTCAAAGCTCACTGATCCCTGGAAGGACAGAACAATTCCCTTCCTTATAGACACTCCAAGGCAAGGTGTGGAAACCATCTCCCCTCAGCTCCCCCTCCGATGATAGATGGGGCAACTGGAGATTTTACCTTCATGTTTATTTGTTTTTTTAATAAGATGTGAAAATCTGGATAACTAAATTTAAGACTGGGGGAAATGAGTGTTTTGTCCCACCCCATACTCCCTCCTTCCTCAGGTGTGTAAAGACCATACATGCTGCCCAAGAGGCAAAATGGGAAGTGGAGAGGGATAATTTTTTGAAGCAGAGCGCCCTGCACGCCAGACAGACATCCGCAGCGTGGGGAGCCCTGCCGGAGTTCCCCGCAGGGCTCCCACGCTGCGGATAGCAGCCTGCCGCCCGGTGGGCGGGGCGCCCTGAAGCAAAGTGCCCCTCGCGCCGAGCAGACATCGGCCAGCCCCGCAAGCTTGAGGGACAGCAGGGAGGCGCAGCGCCGCCATCCCGCTGTTCCTCGACCTGGTTCAGTTTCCCCGACCTGCTTTGGGGGGGGGAATAAAAGAAGAATTTTTTTCCTTTATTTCCCCCCCAAAAAACTACGTGCGTCCTATGGACGGACGGAGCGTCCTATGGGACGAAAAATACGGTACCTGAAGAAGCATCTCCATCCCCATCGTTCAGCCGGACACTGAGATCCCTTGCTGCAAGAAGCCAAATTACAGGGAAACAGGTAGAGGGCCTTCTCGGTAGTGGCACCTGTCCTGTGGAATGCCCTCCCACAAGATGTCAAAGAGAAAAACAACTTCCAGACTTATAGAAGACATCTGAAGACAGCCCTGTTGAGGAAAGCTTTTAATGTTTCATCTTTTATTGTGCTTTTAATTTTCTGTTGGGAGCCACCCAGAGTGGCTGGGGAAACCCAGCTAAATGGCGGTGTATGAATGAATAAAATAATAATAATTATTCATCCTGCTCCTCCCTGGCTGGCAGGAGACTCTCCTGACTCCCTGTTTACTCCCTGCCATTCCTCCCCATTCCCTGCCCTGCGGCCTTTGCTGGGCGCTCCTTCTGCTTTCTCTGGACAGAGGAGCGGGAGAAAAGGCCGCAGGATGAGGCCAGAGGCCGGTCAAGGCCAGCGAGGAGCGTCGCTTCGGCCTCCCGCTTCCCCTCCTAGGAGAAGACGACCTTTCCCCGTCGCCCTTAGTTCTCCCCAGGCGGGACGCGGCTCCCTCCCTATCGCCCCCCAATCCCGCCCCTGGATCGGCCCATTCCCCCCAGTTACCCGCCTCCAGGGGGGACAGCCGCCGCCCCGCCCGGCATCTCCCCGGGGAAGCGGAAGCACCTCCTCTCTCGCCAGTCTTCCCTTCCTCTCTAGGAATCGAAGCTCTGTCGCCGCTGTTAACCCTTGCGGAACCGCGGGGCAGGAGGCTCTTGGCTGCTCTGGGCAGAGAGGAAGGAGGGCGCCCGGCTGGTCTCTGGCTCTGAAGCAGGAAGGGGAAACCCGGCTGCAGGATCAGGCCAGCGATGCCCCCAGTTGCTCCAAGCAGGATCTGAGTACAAAAGCAGCTTTGTCCTCACCTTTAATATTATATTATGTTATATATTGTATATAACATATACTGTATTGTATTGCGTATGCCCCTGTAATCTCACTGTATAAAAGTTGTACAAGTGACAATAATGTATTTCAATTTCAATATTTATTTATATCCCGCCTTTCTCCCAGACCGAGAGCCAAGGCGGCTTACAAAGGGGTTGCCATAGTTATAAATTCTAAAAGGCAGGCGGCATTAAGAGGCAAGGAACTGCAATTGTTTCAAAGATCCTGGTTGAAATCAGAATTAGGAAAAAAAAATTAAAGATGCACTTTTTTTGTGAAATCAGCTGAGAAGAGAGGTCCAGCGGCTGTAAAAAGATGAGTGCTTTAAATATTTTCAAATGACAGAATACCTGACAGTATCTCGAATTAGGATTGGCTATTTTGGATCCAACTGAGTCCTTTCCAAGTGTGCCTCTAAAATGGTGCATGCACACAGGGAAACAAACCTCCACGAGGGACCTTGGTTTCCTGGCTTAGAATAGCACACATGATGTGGAAATTCATGAAGGAGGTCCTGACCCGAGATCTAAGTAAAACTAGGTAACGGAATAAAAAAAATATGTATTGTGCACACAGGTAGGGCTCATGTCACACTATTTTCCCCCAATGCACAAAAATATTGAATCATAGAGTTGGAAGAGACCACAAGGGCCATCGAGTCCAACCCCCTGCCAAGCAGGAAACACCATCAGAGCACTCTTGACATATGGTTGTCAAGCCTCTGCTTAAAGACCTCCAAAGTAGGAGACTCCACCACACTCCTTGGCAGCAAATTCCGCTGTCAAACAGCTCTTACTGTCAGGAAGTTCTTCCTAATGTTTAGGTGGAATCTTCTTTCTTGTAGTTTGGATCCATTGCTCCGTGTCCGCTTTTCTGGAGCAGCAGGGACTGGCCACTGAGACCACATAACACTGGTCCTGAAAGACCTACATTGGCCCCCACTACATTTCCATGCACAATTAAAAGTGTTGGTGCTGACCTTTAAAGCCCTAAATGGTCTCGGCCCACTATACCTGAAGGAGCGTCTCCACCCCATTGCTCAGTCCTGACACTGAGGCCCAGCTCCAAGGGCCTTCTGGCGGTTCCCTCCCTGCGAGAAGTGAGGTTACAGGGAACCAGGCAGAGGGCCTTCTTGGTAGTGGCACCCGCCCTGCGGAAAGCCCTCCCATCAGATGTCAAGGAAATAAACAACTATCTGACTTTCAGAAGACACCTGAAGGCAGCAAAGTTTAAGGACGTTTTTAACATTTGATGTTTTATTGTGTTTTTAATACTCTGTTGGGAGCCGCCCATATTGGCTGGGGAGGCCCAGCCAGATGGGAGGTGTATAAATTATTATTATTATTATTGATACACAAGTGTCATAGCTCCTCTGCTGTAAAAGCCTAGAAGCTGTACATGTTTATTGTTGACT